CCATCGAGTCGAACACGATCGCCTGGACTCACGATCGAGTCGAACACGATCGCCTGGACTCACGATCGAGTCGAACACGATCGCCTGGACTCACGATCGCCAGGAGTCACGTTCGAGTCCAAAACGATCGTGTTGAATACGACACGCACACGAGCGCCTGGACTTTCGGTCGAGTTCAGGCGAGCTCCAAAACCGCGATCGAGTCGAACACGATCGAGTTGGCCTATCACGCTCGCGCCGAACAAGATCGTGTTGACCACGGGCACGATCACGATCGAATTGAACACGATCGGGGCTGCCTTGTCACGAAGGAGTTGCGCTGCCTTATCACTATCTGAAACTTTTCTGCTCCTCGTGCCATGCCAATGTTGTGCGGCCTTCTGATTTTTTGCTTCGCGGTGATGTGCTGTGTTGCTTTCAGATTCGGCAGCGCTGCAAAACATGGAAGGAGAGGGGAAGGCAAGTAAACGACGAGCAAGTAAGAATTTCGGGAGCATGGAACAATCTCCGAAAAAATCGAAGGGGACGCCGTCCGCTGGGGTTGGGAGTCAGGAGGCACCGGGGTCTAAGCGGCAATGCACCCCGGTTTCGAGGGGTGCACCTTCCACGGGCACTCCGTCGACTCGTGTTCGGGGCTCTGGACCGGATAAGGCTGTGTTGATGACTGGCGGGCCTGCGGGTCAGGAACGTGCGCCTGGTCCTCAGCAGGGGAGATCTGCAGTGGAGGTTGTGCCCGGACGTAAACCGTCTGGAGAACGTAAATCGTCTGGCGAACGTAAACCGTCTGGTGAAACGACTACCGCGGGTTGGCGAGACGATGTGCCCGTGATTTACCACAAGGACAAGTTCTGGATGCTGGACTGGGTGGGGGAGACCGGACAACCATCAAGTGGCTTTGTTCTATACGTGGTCATCAAAGAAAATATTGTGTCGGTTGGCGGCCTGGTGAGGTGGACTGGACAAAATATGCCGTATGCAACTTTCGAGTTGGCGATGGTCCTGGATGGAAGAGGGGAAAGAATACCAAACATTAAACACGTCGCTCTTCGATGGGCCAAACACGCGGGTTTGGAAAGTCGCTGGTTGATGTGTTCAACCCACCAGGGACATTGAAAGTGAAGTTGCCTAACCTCGTTGACGTCCTCGGGTTTTTCGACAGTAATGTGATCGCGGGCAGAGAGCCGGTTGTGCATCCAGAGGACCGCATATCAGAGCCTAGATGCGTGCTTTCGAAAACCGTGAAGACAGGGCCTTCGATCACGATCCGCGATACGCCGCTTGGTTCGAAAGCTGGGCAGATCGGAGAGAAGGGTCCGTGCCGCGGACTGGTCGTACCGTCAGCCCCTATGAAGACCAGGCCAACGGCGACCAAAGCACCAGTTGCCTTGGGCAGCCGATCGCGCTATGATGTGGCCACCAAGGGACATCTCCCCTTGGTGGGCCAGCAGCGCTATGACTACACTGTGCCAAGCCGCGCAGAGGAAGCCCATGAGTATTTTGAGGATGAAGATGAAGAGAACAGCGATGAATATTCGGAACGAGCAGGAGGACATGAACAATATGCTGCGGGTGTCAGCGGCATGACGAGGCATCCAGGAGAGACAAGTAAAGTGGTTGGACAGGATGAAGACAGTGAGCACACTATAAGTGAATTGGGTGGGGAGGTTGGTCTGGCAGGAGGATATGGGAGCAGCTACGAAGGATGTGAGGGGGATGTGCACGCGACAATGGCTGTGGCTGGGCATACAGATGCTGCAGGGCTCACTGAGCGAAAGAGGAAGCACAGGCAGGAGAGGAAAAGTCTTATGGATAGTAAGCGGAGTAGGCAAGAAGCGGGTGAAAAAAGACAATTGAAAGTAATGCCCGTGGATGAGGCAGTCCAGCGAACACGGGAGACTGAGGCAGCCGCGAAGAAAAAGCAGCAGCCAAAGAAAAGAAAGGCAAAAGGTGGTGTCATGGAAAAGACTTCCATTTTTCCAGCGGAACAACCACAGTCGGATGAAGAGGCCAAAGGCAAGACAGTTACTAGGCCGCCAAGTTTGCGAAATGTGCCATCAGTTACTTCTTCTGGTGTTCTCAGCAAAGGCTTCTTCCTTGAGTTGGACAAGCGTGGGAACCAATGTCCAGACATGGAATTCATTTATGTCCAGTTCGACATAATTATGGATATCCCCGACGGGGAATTCAGATACAATCAACGCTATCTTGTGCAGCAGACGGTTGACGACATTTATGACGCAATGGTTGCATCGGGTGAGGCTGCTATGAGAGAGAGAATGATTGGAGCTGCCGGTGTGAATGTTTGTACATTGTATGAGAAGCCTGTCCTTTTGTTGGTTGCCCTCCGTGATACATTGCATACTGACGCTTCAGGGAGGATTGTGAGAGCAGGAGGGTGCTACCCGATGATTTCGACCTCGAATATGTGAACAAGTACTACTACTACCCTCTTAGCGGTCAGCATAACGTGGCGGCGGCAAGAAGGTGTTTTGTTGAACGCCCTGACATCGCACAAGAGCTCCGATTGGATCGCTGGACTGCGAGGCCTGTTTATTATCCGGATAAGAGCATGGACAATTACGGCACGTTGAGCACTTTCCAGAACGCCAAGGACAAATGGAATACCCCACCGCACCAGATCATGGTCATCCAGAACATACGGAAGTTGTGGCACGAGTCGAACTGTCCTGAAGCTAAAGGCGGCTCAGCGGCAGAAGTGAAAAATGAAGAGTATAGAAAGTTTGCAGGAGAGGCTCTTCGTTTGACCGAGATTCGTAATTTGATTGACATGTCCCTTACTACTCAATGGAGCGGTCAGTGGTCTAACGCCCTCGGGCCCTACATGTTGTTGGCAAGGGCGACAGATGACATTTTCGAAAAGGTGAAACAAGTGTACGCCGCTTGGGAAACTGGACAATTGCCGGGGAGAGATGCTGTGAAGCCTGCTACCAAACAAGGTGAATCAGGGAAGGCACCGAGGGCTGGACTTGGATTTGAGTTGAAAGGTGGAGTTAGGTATCCGGTTCACTGGGTTCAGGGTACCAAAGGACCTGGTTACCTCGTGGCTGTGCACGATCCGGATATCAGAGCGTGGAAGCCTTTTTCAGCGCTTGGGAGGCGTGAGCGGTTGCAACTGTTGCGAGACATTCTCACAGGCAGTGTAATACTGACTCCTAAGCAAAGTGGAGCTGCTCAACGTGTCGGGAAACATTCAACGAAAACAGTGTGGAAATGGTGAAGATTGAAAGAGCAATGTTGAGGATGTTTCACTACTTCATCTTCATTTCTGACCCTCACAGGAAGTCGTCGGAGTGGACGGAACCATTCTTCAACAATCTTTCCGATTTGTTTGATAAGTACTTTGATGAAGGATTGACGTCCGAGAGGTGGATCGACCAGCGTCGTCATTTCAAAGACATGAGTTGGGTGCGAACATTCCCGACTACACTTGGAGGAGAGGAGGAAAAAGGAGAAAAGGGCTTCAAGAAAACAGCGTCACTTGCTGTGAAGTGCCCCGAAGAGTTTGTGCAGTTTGTCAACAAGCTGCTGCGCAGATCAGAAACCGGGGGTTCGAAAAACATAAGAATGTCGGGCTCGGCACAATATATACATTTCAAAAGACAGAACGTGAACTCTGTTTTCGTCCCATTCCAATGAGAACCAAGCGATCTTTCAGACGAGATGGATTTCAAGGAAATATACAGAGTCGTCAAACATCTGAGTTGCCACACGATCGTGCTAGATTTGTGTCACCCAACCCAGATAGGGGTGTGGACTGAAGAAGTCTTTGATGGTCTGCGGAAGTTCATGGGAAAACTGGCTGGTGATTATTGGACATTATTGTGCTTCGTTCCACAGTCTTGCGAGTATACATTTTTCAAGCGAGTTACAAGTTGGGAGATTGACATTCACTTGTCTATTCTAAAGTGGACTCGTCAGCAACAAACGAAGACGAAACTCTTTTTATAAGGTGGCGAACTTGCCTTTGGAGGACACAGACAGAATGGTTGTCATCATGTACTCCAACGATGGGGATTATCACCGCAACATATTCCCTTGCTTGAAGACATTCCAGCAAGCACTCCAGCTGCAGATCGATCATCTGACAAGCAGGTGGGTAACGTATCAGCACTTGTGCGCAGAGAGAGAAGACCAAAGATGTTGGTTAATGTCGTGGAGAAGAACTTCACGCCCACGAAGTTGAAAATGGCAGGAATGGAGCCAAGGGAGAAATTTGCGTATGAAGGTATGGAAACGGAACCAAATGCGATGGTGGAGACATTGGAGCATTTTTGTCCTGCGGATGAGGCGGTTGTTTTCCTGGGAAAAGGTCATGCGGTGTTGATTTGGGAGTTGTTAAAGAGTCACCGTCATTGCATTGTTCTGGAAGGGGAGGGTATAAAGTTCGAGTTTCTCGTTCAATTCGTCACCAAGATGGTCAAGAGTGGACTTTACTTTGCCAACTTTGCTAAGCCGCCTCCTCGACATGATGAAAAGCGTGATCTCATCTACAAAATCGTCCAAAACAGCGTCAACATTTGGGAGTTCCTTTTCGAGAATAAGCCACAAAACAAAGGGGAACGTGCATATGTCGTCAGAAGGCGAAAAATGGAATCACTTCTGAGGGGGTATCATAAGGCACCGGAGGAGACGGAAGTTGCATTTCTAGACCATTTGGAGATGATGTACTTCGACGAACAAATCGGGGCGTTTACAATCGCAGCTTATGCAACTTGTTTTGGGGAAGGCTTCGATGCTGAGGACTCAGAGGAAGAAAGTGAAGATGGTACTTTGCAAGCGGCTTTGGCAGATGAGAGGCAAAAAGCTTGTAACTCGGTTTCGTAGAAGATGGGTGCGCCGGGCACATTGTCCGGTTCTGGGGGGGCTTCGAGTATGGCAGTTACAACGGACCAGTTTCAACGGACCAGTTACATGGCGGGCAACACAACAGCGCTATCTTCCGGCGCAGTTCAGGATGATCCGAGGGTGCAGGCAATTCTCTCCCCAGAGGTTATGGCAAGTCTGTTAGCACTTGCACATAGCCCGGCTACTGTTTTGGAATTGCTACGCTCTCAAACTCCTCAACCACCTCCGTCTGAGCCTTTGGAGTATGAGATTGAAGACATCATCCCTCCGGACATTGCACGACTTCCTGGACCTATTGTGTGTCGAAACGATTATACGGTGATGCCTGACAACGTATGGGGTCATCACATTATATGGCACCCCCACCACTTCCAACCTGCATTGGCGAGAGGGAACTGAATAATGGCTAGAAAAGAAGAAGGGGAGTGGCAATTTTGCCTCCACAGACGTATGTCACGATCCAAGTTTGTCACACACACCAAAAATGAGATTGGCAAGCGACTACTGCGACTTAATCCGAAGGTTTCTCAATCAAGACTGGATGCAAGGACAGACGAAATTTTTCAAGAGTTCAAAACATCTCGATGGCTTGAGTATCTGGAAGAGTTTTATGATCGAGAAACAAGTCCAGCTTTTGGATATAATTGGTGTATCGAAGAGGAACTTGAAGACAAAGTTGGGGAAAGGAAAGGAGCGAGCGGCGATGAGAGTGGCAAGGGATCAGGATCAGGCGGTGGTGCGCTTGGCAAGGGAACAAGATCAAGTGGTGGTGAACATGGCAAGGGATCGGAACCACGGGGCGGTGCCAGTGGCAAGGGCCTGGGACCTGATGTCGGTGCAAGTGGAAAGCCAATAAGTCATGGTGAACTGCAAAAACACGAAATGTGTCAAGGGCGTCAAGCAACAAAGGGAAAGGTATCCGGACCAAGCGGCGGTGCACATGACAAAGGATCGGGTTCGCCTCTGGGACTAGGACCAAGCAGCGGTACACATTGCAGGGGATCGGGTTCGCCTCTGGGATTAGGACAAAGCGGCGGTGCACATGGCAGGGGATCGAGAGGCGATGCAAGTGGCCAGGATTTGGGAGGAAGCGGTGGTGCAAGCGTCAAGGGCGTAAGTCATGGAGAACTGCCGAAATGTGTCGAGGACGTCCTTCCGGATGACCAAGTTTGGGCGACCACTGTGTTGGCGAGCGAGAGTGTTACTGCGCAAGTGGATAATACTGGTGCACTTGCAGAATTAGAGATGCCATTGGATATACCAGCTGAGAAAGATGAGCATGAAGTCTCTCTGGATATGAAGAATGAAAGCGCGACTGCAGGTGCAAATGAAACTGCCAATGTACAGGCCATCGAAGAGGATGAAGGACATATAGTACTAAGTACACAGGAGCAACATACGCTTGTACAGCCTGAACTTATGGTTGCAAAATCAGAAGCACAACAGTCTGCTAACGTCGTGATATCTATCGACGAATCTCCTTTTACACCATCGCATGGTGCGATAAAAGGTCGTGTTGAAGACAAAGCATTAGTGAGCCACCGAGGTGAGCACGTACTTATCTCTAAGGAAATATTTAATACTGTATGCGGATTAGGGGGTACATGCACTCATCTCATAGGAACTAATTTTTTGCCTAGGTTTGCAACCGTGCGCTCGGTCATGAGAAGAAATGAAGTAGAATATTGTGTATCTCTTATTTGCAATTATGTGGAAAATTGAACGTAAACTCATAATGTTTTGTCTTGTCAATCATTGTCGTTTTATATTGTTGAACATGCAGGGCGACGAAAAGAACTGTGGAAAACGACGCACGTACGTTCGCAAAGGCAGAGTGAGAAGAATATTATTCGTCGTGGATTGCAAGCCTTATCGACTTTGTCATTATTGCCCAAAAAAGAGAGAAGAAGATTTACACCCATGGCATTTCCATTTATGAAGCCAGCTGCCCTAAGGATGTTTAAAGCTGTTGGAATAAGCCTCAGAGAAGGAAAGAAATTGCATCGCGAAGGTTGCAGTTTATCTATTGTGGATGGCAGCTCTGATAGCGAAACAGATAGACAACCAAAAACATTAACTCGGGTCTACGTCGTACATCACATAACGAAAAGTTCGTTTTTGTATGAAGTCTTAATCGTTCCATTGTTGTTTATATGTGTGTTTGTATGCAGTTTATGACCCTTCGTTCCAGATTCCTTTAGCAACAAAACGCCTCACCGTAGAAAAGAAAAGGAGTATCTTGACATGATGACAGACAGCAGCGCATACAATAAAGCATACGGCATTGTCGATTACAAGGGGAGCTGGAAGGTGGGAAAGGAAGACATCATGGTCGTCGTCGAGGATGGGAAATGGCTAAATGACGAAGTCGTCAATTTGTACCTGCTACCCGTCCAGATCACCAATGATCACATCAAGGTTGATTCGGCATGTACAAAAGTAACAAGAGATAGTGTTCCTTTTGTATACATTTTCAATTTTTTTTTCTTCACTCGATTGTCAGGTCCTTTGAGGTTTGAAACCGCATATTCCGAAGGGATGAAATGGGTGAAGGACACAAATCTTTTTTATTATGACTGAGTGATTATCCCTCTTCATTTTGGAAATCACTGGGCGCTAGCTTATGTCAGCATACGGTCCGAACTGTAAATTCCACCTCATAGACTCTCTCCCTCGTGCTGACTATGTTTCAGTCCTTGAACGTTTGGAAGATTTTTTCGAAGCGGAGTTTCATCGACACAATCTTCGCAAAAGATATCATGTGGACGGGCCTACATCCTCCTTTGATACATCAGTAGATGGGATTCCTGCTCAAGAGGATCCTTGTAGTTGTGGTGTTTTTATGTTAGGTTTTGCATTTTTGCTTGCAAGAGGTCACTTCCCTCCATTTGCTTTCTCACAAGCCAATATTTATGATATGAGGCTTAGAATAACATTTGACATTTTGTCCATGATTAGATAGGAAAGTCAATGAGGTGCGACTAAAGCTACAGTCCGTAGTTAATATTTTGTTGATGAGATTGACATGTTTACTGAGTGTAAACATTCGAGGTAAAAACTTGACATTGTATAATATTTTGAGCACAGGCAACACGGGAGCATGACTGTCACATTAATTTTTCCTCATTGTTTTGTCGTTCCTTCAACTTTGCATTGCTATGAACATTGTTTCGTCCTTATTTTGCTTTGTCGTTATTTCGATTTGTTGTTATTTTGCTTTGTCGTTATTTTGCTTTGTCGTTATTTTGCTTTGTCGTTATTTCGTCTATAAGTTCCTCATTTCGTTCTGCCATTTTACAGTTAAAAAAAAAAGTGAACACGAAAACAATTTCACTGATAACGAAAACACCGTTGCACTGTCGCCGTCACCCACTCACTTTTCTTCCTGTACCGCCCCTGTCCCCTCCAATCTCACATTTCCCCATTTTCTCCCCCCTCCTCCTTTACGATATATACCCCTGCTGTCCGCTTACAATTACCCGCAAGCCACAAACTAGGCCAGTCAGGTCAGCCACGCAAAAGCAATCGACATGACCTTTCCAAACTTCAAATTTTAGACATGTTCTATAAAAAATTATAGGGGATGGTGGTGGCGACACCACGACAGCTATGGCTGGTATTGGTTAGGGAAGATTGTCTCTCGGGTGTCGTGTTTCGTATAAGGGAGGCGAGGAGTTTGCTCATGTATTGTGAGGCCAGATTTGGCTGATGTAGTCTAATTTTTTGCTGATCTGGGAGGTTCTTTTTTTTTTTTTTTTTTTTTTTTTAGG